GGGTTTATATTTAACTAACTAAAAGGAACTGTTCTCACCAATTCTGCTATTTGTGTTTTTACTAGTATGCTTATCTGTTTTTCATTTGATTGTTATTAGGAAAGGATGATTGGAATCCTGAGCCTTTAGATTTTCTCATTGATGGAGAACTGGTCCGCATGTCACTTGAAGAGTTTCTCCTTGCCAAGGGCATTTCAGCTGTAAGTCTCTTTCCTGATATCACTACTTGGCTGCTAGAGTGAACAGTTATGTCTCTTCAGACCAACTCAAAAATAAAAGGTACTCATGGAGAACTGTTTTGTATATCTTATACAGGAGAAAATATTAGAGATTGAGTACATTAGAGCTGTGGCTCCAAGAAAACAAGAAGAACCATCTTTGCATGACGACTGGGTCAGTGCAGTTGATGGTTCTAATTCTAAGTAAGCATGAGTGTGAAATTTGTTTTTCAAGAACCTTCAGTGCGATCGTTGTAATCTTTTCCGCCTTGTGTATCTTTCTTTGTTTGATATATTTAAGACTTGGTGTGTGTATGCTTCGCTTCTAAAGGAACTTCTGTACTAAAAGAGAATATTGGCTTATCCCGAAAAAAAATAGTGAGCCTCATAATATAACTTAATGGACGGTTCATGTCTTTGGCTATTGCATCTCTGTACCTTATGCGTTGTGCATTCACTTCACTCATAGATATATGTACCTTATGCGTTGTGCATTCACTTCTCTCATAGATATCTGCTACACACTAGATTACTGAGGACAATGTTTTTTTTTACGACAAGGGAAACTCGCAGCCGCTACCCAAACAGGATAAAACCCCCGCTCCAATGCAATAGCTCGCAAACCACATAGGAGAGGTAACCCGCACTAGGCAAACCTGGTGCGACGAGCTCGACCCAGAAGGCAAACCCCTTGCTTTCATTGGTAAGGGGTTTCGAACTTGAGACCTCCAACATGGAAGTCCCAAGCCCAAACCACTAGGCCACCCCGAAGGGTATTACCGCGAACAATGTTGTTGATATTATTACATTGTACTGCTTTTGTTCCAAATGTTTTTGAGTTAAATTTCATCCTCCGTGTGCTTTCCCCCCCTAAAATATGGGATGGTGACAGTTAGATGTAATAATCGTCTTCTTTCCATACAATGAACTATTGCCTTAACTGACAAGATGTGCATATTTGTGATCTGTCAGGTTTGTTTTGACTGGATGTTATGATGGCTAAGAAGGTAATCCGTTGATTGTATATTCTTTGCTAGTTGCATTTTTTGGTTCAGAACTCGGCTTTATTTGTTTTTTTTGTTATTACATCAACCTAACATTTGATAGTGCTAATCAGAATATGGAAGGCTGCCGGATCTTGTACACATCTATTGGAGGGCCATACCGGGGCAGTTACTTCTGTTTGTGTTGTCAACCCAAGAGGTATCAGAGGGAGATAGTTTTGCCTCAGTTGCTCGTTTTCTAGCATTATGCTTTACCGTCTACTGCCATTTTCATTTATCTGTGACACCAAAAGTTCATAGGTATCAGAGGGAGATAGTTTCTCCCCAGTTGCTTGTTTTCTAGCATTATGCTTTACCATCTGCTGCCATTGTCATTTATATGTTCATACTCCCACATCACCTGTTTTTGATATTTGTTGTTTGAATAATATTTCTTGTTGATATCCATTCGATTAACTAGCTTTGCACTGCTGAAAATACACTGGATACCAAAACTTGTACCAGCATGACAATCATGTGGACATATAGTTTGAATTTCTCCTGGATGCTTACTTCTCCGTGTTTCATTTCTTCTGTAATTCTGTCTGTGTTTATCAGATTTATACCTTTTATTTTCTTAAGTGGCTCAAGATGGTGCTGATCAAATAGTAGCTACGGCTTCCAAGGATAGGACACTGCAGCTCTGGAAGGTAACATGATGTGCCTGCACTACTTATAACTCTGTGCCTAATTCGTGATCTTCCTCTAATTAGTAATTGTTTGGCTTAAAAGTTTGATGCAGATGAGCCTTCAGATCAGATAAAGAGGATTAAAGCCTATAAAATTTTACATGGACATAATGCTTCTGTTCAAAGTGTTGCAGCAAATCCTGTTGGAGATATGGTTGTGCATCTCTTCACTTAATTGATCATTTGAAGCTTTTTAATTATGTAATTGATTATAAGAAGTTTACTGACTCCTTGTTTTTGTTGTGTTGGACAGGTGTGTTCAGGGTCCTGGGATTGCCAAATAGCTCTGTGGCAAGCAAGTGGCTCAGATACATGTGATGTAGTTTCAGTCAAGAAAAGGAAGAAGGATGCCGAAGAGGATGATCCTCAAGCAGAAGTATGACCACATTTCTTCTAACTTGTCTAGGCTAAAGATAGAAAAGCACATCTATTTCATGCCACAGTGTTAGAAATCCATGACGTGTTTAATAAGGATAATGTGTCTGTTCTAACTTCTACCTTATCCGAAAAGAAGGGTAATGTGTCTGTTCCTAAAACCAGTGAAAAAGAAGGAAAGAACAGTTTATGGCTGTTGTTACTATTTGATTTCGAAAACTTTCCAGCGCAAGGCATACACGTAATAAAATAATCTACTTTTATTTTTGGCAAAACCTCTTCTTCCCTGAACCCTACTTTGAATCCTTCTCCATCCTACCTCTCATATGCCATACCCATCCAATTGTCCCACCGTTCTTCCTGCAGTTCCTCCAACTTTGTGTTGCTACTCCCTCCATTTTAAATTATGCGACATAGTTTGAGCCAACACGGAATTTTTAAGAATAAAATGAAGATTTTTGGTACTGTGGTCTAAAATATGCCATAACATATGTGTGGCTGTAAAGATTTTGAAACTGGAGCTTGAAGGAGTAATTATTCTTCTTCCTTCCCCCTACCTGTCATCCATATATATCCCATAGATTCCCCCCTTTTGTTCCTTATCTACCACCTTTGTTGCAATTATATTCTTCTTTTCAAATTTGTTTCAGCAACAATTTTGTGCCAGTCCAACGTGTCTCTGACTTTCTATGTTGTATCTCATTGACAATTGATATTGATTAGAAAAATCTTTTGTCCCTTTTGATGAAAGACAAACAACCTTCTGATTTCCTTAAATGACAATGTTCATCAATGCAACTGAAGGACCAAACTAATGTTGAAATATGTCGGTCTTTGGCTCACTCTGAGTTGCTTGATCTTTGTTTTCTCTCTCTCTCTCTCTCTCTCTCTCTCTTCCTTTTTTATTGTTTTTTCTCTTCTTTTTAAAAGATTTTTTAATGATTGTTACCCTAATCTTGTAAATAATTTTCTATCACATCTTATGCTCACAGGAGGAGGCTAAATCTACACTTGTAGGACATACACAATGTGTGTCTACCGTGGTATGGCTACAAGATGAAGCAATCTGTTCATCATCATGGGATCACTCTATTAGAAGATGGGATGTTGAGATGAGCAAGGATTCATTGAACCTGGTGACATGCCATCTCTTTTCTTCTGTTCTTCCAGTCACATTTTAACTGTCATGTACATGTATTCCTAAACTTACATACATATGGATTGGAGGGGGAGAAATAAATATCAACTTGCAGAATATGAAATTATGAAAAATTTGTGGAAGTTTTAGCACTCATATATGCCAATCCCAGTGATATTCCTTTCATTTTTTGTCAGAGATAACATCTCTCTTCAGCAATTAACAATCATATTTTTAAAAATTACACCATCTTGAAGAAGAAGATACCTCTCCATCATGACAAGTAGCTGGGTTTGAACTTTTGTAATACCAAGATGTATAGTTCTTTTTTAAGTCTATTCTGTTGAGAGCTTGAAACTATATTTTCCTAGAAGTATGGATAATGATCACCTTCCTCTTCAACAGTATTGCGACAAAGTCATTAGTTGCCTTGATGTTGGAGGTGAAGGTTCTGCCCTCATTACTGCTGGTGGTTCTGACCCCATTCTTAGGATATGGCATCCTCGCAAACCAGATTTCTTTCTTTTTCTGTCCAACTTGCAGAAGAACTTTTTAACATCCACTTGAACTTAAATTCCTTGTCTCTATGTGCTTAAATATCTTTTGTCTGTGTTTATTGCCCAAGTAACTGATGACCTTACATCACACATTGATATATACTCTTTCATTTACCACTTAACAGGTACTTCGGCTCCTGTCTATCAGTTCTCATCACACAGTTCTTGGATATCTACCTGCAAGTGGCATGAAAAGTCACGGTTTCACTTGCTTTCTGCATCGTATGACGGGAAAGTAATGTTATGGGACTTGAGAACTGCGGTTAGTTCTACACTTTTAACGTCTCTATTATTACTATTAAGACTTTATATAAACACTTACATTTTCTGTTCCTGGGTAAAACAATTTGTATTGCAGTGGCCCCTTGCTGTCATTGACACTCACAATGACAAGGTACTAAATTTTGCCTTCTAAGATTTGGTTTAAGAGTATTTGTTCTATTACATTAGCATTTCCTAAACATCAGGTTGTCAATACAGGTACTGTGTGCGGATTGGTGGAAAGGTGAAAGTGTAGTCAGTGGTGGGGCTGACTCGAAACTTTGCATCTCTTTTGATGTTTGTGTGTTGTGATGTAGAGGTAAATTACTCTCTTTTTGGTGTAGAATTTTGAGACCAATTATCTTTCATCACTTAGTTCGGTGGAGTAGACTAGGTGTTTGAAAAAGGATTAGAACTCATGATACATTTGATTTTTATCTGTATCAGAGTTCTGATAGTTGATATAGGACAAGGTAATACATACTCGCAGCCTGATGGTTGATGTGTTTTACTAACCAACCTATTTGAAGCACTCGATCCCTTGATTGAAATAATGGTAGCTGTGACAATTGTTCACTTGGCTAAGTTTCATTTCGAACTATTGATAATTTTAAAATACTTTTTAGTTGATTGACTATTCTTAAATACACATTGATATGCAATATCAATCGATCTCAAACTCTTGTTAAAAGTGCTTATTTTTAACCCTACTGTGAACATAAGGTGTCCTTTTGTCACATCGTTTTCTCTAGAACTCTCTCTCAAAAGAAGTAGTACACATAAGTCATACTAATATACATTGATTTGAGACGCACCTTTTTTGGAAGAGAAGAGAAAAGAAAGTTGGTCACGAGGAGAAAGTGAGTTGTGTTGACAAGGAATTAAATTAAAAATGGAGAAAAATGAAGTGATGAAGATGAAAAGTAGTGAGAGTCAGGTGATGGACGGTTCAGATATAATGAAGTTAGTTGGAAATGAGGCTGTGTTTAGTAACTTTGTAGATCATAAGTTTCAAGAACTTGACATAGACAAAGACGGTAAGCTTTCAGTTAAGGAGTTACAACCTGCTGTTGCTGATATTGGTGTTGCCCTTGGTTTACCTCCTCAAGGTTCTTCCCCTGAATCTGATCATATCTACTCTGAGGTACTTCTATTTCTCACTTCAAAAATACCATAAAAACTTGTCTACACCCTATGTTTGTTAGTATTAAATAAATGTATTAGGTTACTTTATCCATCAAAACTTAAATAAATACAAAGAAATAAACTAGAATTAACATTTTTTTTTTGTTTCTGTTGAATTTTGAACCATGATCTCTCGTAATTTTCACCCACTTCATTGATGTTGTTACATATTTTTAAACAAATCTACACATGTATTTGGTTAATTATGGGTTGAAATAGTAAATGCATATTGCAAATGGTACTGGTATGGGGTGGTAAGAGGCCAGATATTTAATGATTACAGAGTGCTTGAGATGAGACAGCAACTCAACTGGACTCTTGTGTCTGGACTGTTTGTTTATTCTCTTGGTTTTTTATTCAAGGGTTCAAGTTTATATGTGATCTCATTTGTTTGACTATCAAGTTTCAAAGTCATGATATGGATGCGGTTCCATTTGCACGCACTAAAGTATTTTTAAGGCATAATACATAGATAGATATTTTAATTTGGCCAAAATTATCAAATAAACACTTTTAATTTTGAAAATGCACATTTTTTAACTTAATTTAAGTTGGCCTTTAAATACCACACAACTTTGAGAATGCACTTCTAGAATGCAGCCCCTTGAAGGTGTCTAGATGTGTATTTTCAAAGTTAAGGTGTTATTGAGAGGCAGCTATGTCAAGTTGAAGTGTTTAAAAAAAAATTTACACCATCTATAGATAACTTAAAATCCTAGTTGAAAATCTTAATTCTTCAAAATAATTATGTATATATTTTGATGAACTTTTGGGGGTCTTGGCATTTAAGTTGTTCTGTCTGTACTGTTTTTTGTCCCCCTCCTTTTTCCTTATCCATTTGGAATCACTATTGAAGAAGTGATCGAGATTGCCTAGAAATGTGTAATGACCCTCATGGTCATTTCTGCATCTTGCCTTCTGTGTGTCGTTTAGAGCGTTCCTGTAGCGATCCCAAGTCATTTATGACTTGTTGGGACTGACAGTTCGGTCACCTGGTCGTTCGTTTGATTATGGTGCGAGTTTTAGTGTTTTGGAGCTTATGAACCTTCAACGATCATTTTCGATAAAAAGTTCAAGAAGACGACCTCAGAATAGAATTCTGACGGTTTCATCAGCTCTAGAATGACCAAATTGTGCTAGTAGCATAGTTGGCATGAGTATCGAGGCCTTCGATGCGAGTTTGGATCATTAGGCGTTTCAGCCTTTGAAATTTGGCCTAAGGTTGACTTTGGTCAACATTCTTGGAAAACGCGCTCGGATGAAAATTCCGCCAGCGCGGTTAGCTCCGGAATGTTGAGTTTGGTCTAAAACGACCTTTCGTTTGACTCCCGACGCCTTCGGACTCATTCCGTTCCCCTCGGTGGATTTTGGTTAAAATGACTTTTGAAAGTGGGACCCACTTTTTATCGAGATGACCTCTGATGGAAATTTCGACTGCGCCGTTGAGTCCGGAATGTCGAATTTAGTAGGGTAGCATATTTGTTTTATTTTTATCGGGTATCGAACGAATTCGAGCACCCAGTCGGAGACTTTGAAGAATTTAGCCAAAGCTGAGATCTGGTGCAGCTCTTTAGCGACCAGAGTTTGGGCCTTTAACGACCAGCTTTTGGGTTTTTAGCGACCAGTTTCGCCCTTTATAAAACCCCAACTTAGCTTTATTTCTCATTTTCTTTAAAGTGCGATAACTTGAGCTTTGGATCTCCAATCTGGGCGATTCAAAAGGCAAAGTTGTGAGATTTTTCGAGGACAACTTGTTGGTGAGCTTGGAGTCTGATTTGGGATCCCCGTTCGAGGTAAATTTCACAAAATACCTGCTGCCACAACCCTTTTTTTGTGAGCTTGATTTTGGGATTTTTGAGACTTGTTTTCTCATCCATTTTAGGTCCGATTTCAGCGATTCTTCGAGTCATGATGACACCTACTATAACCCACCAGTAGTAAGCCAACCCGTAACTCGGAACAACAAGTAATGGGTCTGAGGGTAGAAACTAAACAAGAGTAGGCAAAATTTAAGATAACAATATAAACAGGTGAAAGCAACCCAAAACATAAATACAAATAAAGATCCCTCCCAGAACCTGGAAGTCACTAGCACAAAGCTACTGACAAAACTGGACTGTCTCGAAAGGTAAAAGACAAGTCTATATATACAGATGGAGACTGAAATAGTACAAAACGCCGTGTGCTCACCCCCTTCTCCGGATCAGACTACTCCAAATTGGATCAATGATCGCCACTGGTGCTCGGACCTGCATTATGAAACAGATGCAGAGTGTAGCATGAGTACCAAAACAGCAGGTACCCAATAGGCATCATAGGCCGACTGAACTTGAAAAGTAAAGGCTATTATGAAAAGAAGGAATAGCACAAATAGAAGTCAAGAACAGAAATCTAAGTAACGATGGAATGCACACGAGTGTAAAAAGAACTAACTAAAGTAATCTATAAGCTAACTACACCTAACTGGGCCTCTATAAGCCCAGAAGGTACCCTACTAACTCAACATTCTGGAGCTAACCGCGCTAACGAAATTTTCATCCGAGCGCGTTTTCCAAGAATGTTGACCAAAGTCAACCCTAGGGCCAAATTTCAAAGGCTAAAACGCCTAATGATCCAAACTCGCATTGAAGGCCTCGATACTCGTGCCAACTATGCTACTGTCCTAATTTGGCCATTTCAGAGCTGATGGAACCGTCAAAATTCTATTCTGAGGTCTTCTTCTTGAACTTTCGATTGAAAATGATCGTTGAAGGTTCATAAGCTCCAAAACACTAAAACTCGCACCATAACCAAACGAACGACTAGATGACCGAATTGTCAGTCCCAACAAGTCATAAATGACTTGGGGTTGCTACAAGAACGCTCTAAACGACACACAGAAGGTAAGATGCAGAAATGACCAGTAGGGTCATTACAATATCCACTACTAAAAAGGACTTTCGTCCGTGAAAGAAAGGATAAGGATATACCTGAGGGCTCAAATAAGCTGGGGAATTGCTCCCGCATCTCCTGCTCGGTCTCCCAGGTAGCCTCCTCGACTGGACGATGCCTCCAATGGACCTTAACAACAGGAATAACTCTCGACCGCAACTGCCTAACATCTCTGGCTAGAATGGCAACCAACTCCTCTATAAAGGTCAGACGATCATCCAACTCAACTGAATCATACTGGAGCACATGAGACTCATCTGGAACATACCGGCGCAGCATCGAAACATGGAAAACTGGGTGGATAGCCGATAGTGCTGGAGGTAAAGCTAACTCATAGGCAACCTCGTCAACTGCTCTCAAAATCTCAAAAGGGTCTATATACCTGGGGCTAAGCTTGCCTCGTCTCCCGAATCTCATCACGCCCTTCATGGGCGATACTCGGAGAAATACCCGATCGCCAACTGCAAACCTCAACGGCCGACGCCTATGATCCGCGTAACTCTGATGTTTACTCTGAGTCATTCTAAGCCTATCCTGAATCACCCATACCTGATCCAAGGCCTCCTGAAGCAAATCTGTACCACGCGGCCTAAGCTCTGTAGACTTAAACCAACCAACTGGAGAGCAACAACGCCTACCATATAAGGCCTCAAATGGGGCCATCTGAATACTAGAGTGGTAGCTGTTGTTGTACGCAAACTCCGCCAAAGGCAAGAACTGGTCCCACTGACCTCCAAAATCCATAACACAGGCCCGCAACATATCCTCCGATTGGCTATCCGTCTGTGGGTGAAAAGTTGTGCTAAGGTGGACACGGGTGCCCAACTCCCCTGAAAAGCCCTCCAAAAGCTGGAAGTGAACTGTGAACCCCAATTTGAAATGATAGAAATAGGCACGCCATGAAGACGAACCACCTCCCTAATGTAGATATGAGCCAACCTCTCGGCACTGAAAGTAGTATGAACAGGAAGGAAGTGTGTTGACTTGGTCAATCGATCCACGATGACCTAAATGCTGTCAACACCTCTAGAAGTCCGAGGCAACCCCACAATGAAGTCCATAGTGATACATTCCCACTTCTACTCCGGAATGGGTAATCTCTGGAACTCGCCACCAGGGACCCAGGATGAAATAATACTGTAGCAGGCTGGTGGCATAATAAAAGTGTACCTGTGATGACATCGTCAGATGCCTCGGCCGCCGCCCTCGCTGGGGCTGCTTAGAAATGGCCCTGAGCACCTCTGCCCGGTGCGTTCGATCTACCACCTGACCTGCCTCCCCGATCTCCACCTCTGGTACCCTATTGGCTATCCCGACGGTCCCGGTCCTGACCAACACCTCTAGCTGGAGGGGGCACTGCTGAAATTGGTCTAGGTGCAAGGGGAGCTGGTACAATCGCCCCTCTCCCTCGCCGTGGGAACCCTCTGGACCAATAGTCAAGAGCACCGCAATCAAAACACCCTGAAGTTGAACGCCCTGAAGTAACTCGACCGCGGTAGGAAAGGAGGGAATCTGATCCCCTGGAACTCTGGCCCGTACTAGGACCACTCTGTTGATGCTGGCCTCCCTCAGAAGCAGGTAATGCCGCCTGAACAGGCCGACTGGACTGGCCCTGCTGGAACCTCTGGCGAGGCCTATCATAGGAGTCTTTCCCTCTAGTCTGGGACCTGTTGTACCTGCCCTGGTAGCGTGACCTCTTATCGCTGCTTCCTTGGGCCTCACGATGAATAAGCTCCATAGATCGGGCATGGTCGACCACATCAAGAAATGAACGACTGGCCGAAACCAAATGCTCTGTGTCTACCCTCAGACGGTACTGCAACCCACGTATAAAACAACGAACTCTCTCCTCCTCCGTGGGCAGGATCATGGTAGCATGTCGAGACAACTCATGAAACCTCGCCTCGTACTCTAAGACGGTCATAGGGCTCTGCTCCAATCTGGAGAACTGATCACGAAGCCTATCCCTGATGCTCTGTGGAATGAACCGGGCCAAGAAAGCCTCTGAGAACTCACGCCAAGATATAGGAGGCGATTCTGCTGGCTTGGACTCTCGATACGAGCGTCACCACTGCCTGGCTGGCCCACGAAACTGATGAGCGGTGAAGTCGGCTCCTCTCGACTCCAAGAGGCCTAATGACTGTAACTGCTCCTGGCAAGTGAGCTGGAACTCGTGGGCGTCCTCCCCAATCGCCCCTGAGAATATCGGCGGTGCCAACCTCTGGAATACCCCGAGCATCTTCTGCTCGCGCAGTGGCATCTCCCTGTCCTTTAAGTATGGCAGGGCGACCACATGAACTGGTGGCGGCTGAACCTCCAGTGCCGCGGGGTTATAGTAGGTGCCATCATGACTCGAGGAATCGGGTCGTGACAAAATGTTCTTCTTTTTTTTTAACTCTTAATTTTTGAACCTGCCGACAATGATGATATGGAAAAAAAAATTTGGTTGATTCTAATTTTTAAAGATTGTTCTCAGAGGTAGCATTCATACTTTTTATGGACGGTTACCTGTAAAAGTTCTTTACATTGTCAGTGTATAGAAGTTAAATTCTTCTCTAAATTGGGAAATATTTTGTCACCCCTTTTTATTAGTGAACTTGTTGTGACTTAGGTTCTTCAAGAATTCACACATGGAAAGCAAGAGAAAGTAAGCAAGACGGAGTTTAAAGAAGTTCTTTCAGATATTTTACTAGGCATGGCTGCTGGTCTAAAGTGAGATCCTATTGTACTCCTTCGTATGGATGGTTAAAAGTCCTGCATTTGAACCAGAGATGCTTTCCCTGTACTCTGAGTTAGAATTGCCTGATGGATCCCTCAAAGATTACATCATCAAGGCTTTTGAGAAGCTTACGGTTGATCAAGGGATGCCTCCTGCATCAGACTCATGTGTAGTTCATTTATTCTCTTTAACGGCTTCACATTCATGTCTAGCTAGAAATTTTACACTATAAGATTACATAAATTTGGTTACTTGCAAAACATGACAAATTAACAGTTACAAGTAAAGTCTTTTAAACTGTCAGTGTATATAGAGGCTAATATGTGATTGCTCACTGATTCATAAATTTTGTTGCTTACTATCCCTGTGTAACTTCTTTGTTACACATTTATATTTATGATGAGTTCTTTGCTAATTATTAGAGCATAGTACTTTGTTATTATCTTGATCTGTAGGTAATGAGTAATGTTGTGGAGCCAGTAGTTGAATCCTGCATTGGAGCAACTAACGAGCAACCTGTTACACGAGACATTTTTGGCTGAATTTAAGAAAGTTGCAGAGAGTGCTGCTCAACGTCTCAAGGAGCAGCCAGTCATTGTTGCTCACAGCGAGAACACATTTGATGGAAGTGGAATTAAAAGACTATTGTCTAACAAGTTTGAATTGGATAAGGTATGTACACATCACCCGTGGTGTTGTCTTCTGGACCTAATAATATATAGTAACATATCATACTACAAGAAATGAAACTTTCTTAGGGACTAATGTCATACAAGAAGTGGAAAAGTCGCGACAAGAGACTTTTCCTAGTGGCCGGAGGGTCATCATACTTTTGCATCTCTTTTTATTTGGTTGTTTATCTATGGTGCAGACGCTGGATTCTGCCTTAAAGACTATACCCAGAGATTGCCATGGGAAAATGTCAAAGGAATACCTACGAGTTGCACTTGATGTTCTTGCACCATCAGCTGGGTGCTGTTGACCATTAATTTTCAAGTTACTAGTCTTATCAGTGTGTAGAAGTTAAACTTGTCAACTAATAGATCACATTTTTGCTTAATTAAAAGCTGGCCTTGTGTATGATATAGTTGTATCCCCCGTGTTTGCAGATGGATAAGGTCATACAAGAAGTCTCTGTAAGATGTTGGATGCCGATGATGGGAAGATGGTTAAAGAGGAAGAGTTCAAGAAGTTGTTGACTGAAATACTGGGCAGCATGATGCTGCAATTAGAAGGGAATCCAGTTTCGGTGTCCACAAACTCTGTTGTGCACGAGCCTCTTGCTTCTTCCTCTATGCTCTTGCAGCCTCCATCTATTTCTGAGATGTAACTGATCCTATGAAACTAGAGAAAAAAAGAATAACAGGGGATGTATGATGTAAATTTCTGTTAAAATTAAAGGCTGAGAGATACTGCCTTAATAATACAGCATCCATTTCAGCAATTAATAGTGTCATATTACTTGAATTAAATCAGTGTCTGTTTAAATAACTTAACCATCAACTATGACTAGTGTAATTTAGTGAGTGTAAGTAAACCATATTCAAATAAACTCGTGAGCATAGACTATCATCATATTTACTAGTTCCTTTGTCCCGATTTATGTGAAAGATTTTATTGGACATAGAGTTCAAGAGAAATTATAACTTTTAAAACTTGTGGTTTAAAATAAATCATAGAGACTCAATATTGTTGGTAACGAACGTTTGTATCAAATAGGTTCCATCATGTTGCAGCACATCTGTCCCCCCATCCTCACGCTCATTGCTGACTTTGGTTACTTCCTTCATTTGGGTTTTGACAGATTTCTCCTCCTGTATGTTTATAAGAGCAAATACATGACGTGGAAACCAGTTCATCACATGTCTTATTTGTCGCCGCAAAGCAAGAGTTAACTCAGCTGAAATCTATGAAAAATTGTGGACATCAGAAATATGATCCTCCTGAAGTAACTCTGGTAAAACTGTAATACCTCTTGCTAATGACCAGAAAACTTCAGACATAATATTTTCAGTTTCTATAAATTTATCCAACAACTAAGAGTTGAGATGGTAGAAAACTCAATGTTTCCAAGATGACTTGTAAGACCAAGAATTTATCTGAAGAGAAACATAGTTCTGACATATTAACAACTAGAATAATATTTCCCTTCCATATTACTCAGATAAACAACTCCAAATTACTAATTGACGATTAGCAAAATAAGAGTTAGCCTTGGTTGCAATCAAACAGCATGTGTACTGAACCAATGATGAGAATAGAATTTAGCTATGGACATCTACATTCTTGATTCTACGCAACACAATAGAATCACTAAGACGTATACAGACTCAAGACATCCTCATCCTGTATCTGGCAACTAGTAAAGTTATACACCGAGTAATTGCTATGCTTTCAAGAAAAGAACAGTAATAATGTTATTCACAAAGTAGAGTTTACCTCCTTGAACTTGGTATTTCTTTTGGAAAATTCAAGAAAGATGATTATAAGAAAGATAGTGACAACGGATGCAAAAACTACCGTTTGCGAGTCAAGAGAAGCATAGTTCTGAGATATTAACAACTAGTATAATATTACTGAGATAAACAACTCCAAATCACTAATTGAAGATTAACAAATTAAGAGTTAGCCTTGTTGCAATCAAACAGCATGTACTGAACCAACTACATTCTTGATTCTACACTAGAAGAAAACTTAATTGCTAGGCTTTCAAGAAATTGGCGTCTATTTCAAGAAAAGAACACCGGTAATGTTATTCAGAGAGTAGAGCTTACCTCCTTCAACTTGGCGTTGGCATTGGTATTTCTTTTGGAAAATTCAAGAAAGGCGACGGTAAGAGCGGAGATAGTGACAACTTTAAAAAGTCATTCAAAGGATTACTCAATCAGTCACAAATTATCAACCTTTGTTGTTATTTGCTTTTTCCAATATTATGTTTTTAAAAATATATATTATGAAATTAACTAACACAACCTTTGTAGTTTTTCATAATTTATAGGAGTATATACTTTTCCATATTTGGTGGCCTTCTGATCCTATTTGACCACATAGCAGGAACCATTGTTGCACTGCTTGTAAAGTATTTGGTGGCCTTCTGATCCTATTTGACCACATAGCAGGAACTATTCATTTAGTAAGTTATTTCAATTTCCTTGAATTAATTTCTTATAAATAAAGTAAATTAATGTTGATTGTTGATCCTACTACTGTAGATATGTTACCTGTTGATAACTACTTCAGTTCGATGTGTCTACTACTATAAAGTTGGAGAACCAGAATTTGTTATTTTTCTCCAAGGTTTCATGCAGGTTAATTCAAATTAATTTATACTCCATTGTTTTTTTAAATAATGAAATGAATGTGAACATGAATCAACTTTTTGTCTCTTTACAGAATATGACACTTTTTGGTGCAATATGGTTGTACATGAAGATGAAGTTGAGGCAATTGAAGAAAAAGGCCTCCAAGTCCAAGAAAACTTAGTAACTTATCATATTCTCAACTTTTTAGGGGATTGAATTTTTCTAGTGAGGTTTTCCTTGTATGAAGCTTGCTTGTCCAAATGGTTCTGGTTTGGATTTATTTTCTTTGCAAAGTTACCCTGTGTGCTTTCTTGAAAGGTGAATTGACTTTTGGACAATGCTTACTTGGTTGTTGCATAAGTTATACGTCTTATTTATGGAGTTAGCAAAGTCATCTCTATGTGGTTTCTTGATAGTTGAGTTGATCTTTGGACAATGCCGATGAAACGTAAATGTTGCATTTAGTCCTAAGTCTTCTTTATAGCAGATATTGCAACTTTTCTCTTTCTAGAATTAACTTTCTTATGTAGATTTCATAACGGTAAGGCAATGACTTATATTGACATTCGATTTTAATGTATGGAAGATGGTCGTGTGCATATTGCAGCGGAATTGGTTTTGGCCTAAATGTGCTGTGATATCTTGGAAAACTATTATCTTTTTCTCTCCAACAATCTGGATGGTTAGTCAGTTGACATTTGGCAAACAGCTGGGTCGGTTTGAAAAATAACACGAGAACTGCATTCAAAAACATCCCTTTTTAGCACCAGCAATACATAACTTGAATTGCTTTTCATCGTCCTATTTTTAGATCTTCAGAACATAAGAGATCATTCAGTTATTAAACTCTTCCTTCCTTCCTAGTTCAATCAACCAACTATGCCCAGTTCCAAGATAGTTGGTAATATGAACTTTTTTATCCATCCCGATCAATGCAGGCACATTTACAAGGTAATATCTGTGAAGTTCATTTTTCCCTTGGAAAGATGTTAAAACATATTGAGAAGTGAGGATGAAAAGTAGTAGCTGTATTTTCTGCTTAGGGAATGAGCTTCTTTTATTACCAGAAATCCAAATCCTTAAAATTAGTGCTCCAAATGTTTGTTCTGTTTCAAAAAAAAGTGCTCTAGGAGAATGGATTAGTCGAGTGCGTGCAAATTGACTGTTATTTATACAAAAAACATGTATGTTGTGGGTGTGACTAAAGCACTCATGTTTGATAGAGTTTGTAAAAATAATGTTAAATAAAGTATATTAATAACGCTTAAATTAATTACACATAAATAACTTTTATACATTGTTCGATATGATGTATCAAAAATTGCATGCATTGCATAAAAATATTAATTTACAAAAATATCCTCCACAATTATGGTGGAAAAGATGTAAAAATGATTTTGAAGGGCAATTGAGTTTTTCACCATACTTATTGCATGCATTAAATCTCTTGCATTACTAATACCTAGAAATCCATGATATTAGTAGTACACATCTTAATACACCATAAAGTATTTAGTTATACATAAGTTGAAAAAGTGTACCAAATAAGGTATTACTAATATAGAGAGTTACTAAATAACTTCCGTACGTTTACTCACATAAAAAAACAACTCACATAAATCATCTATTTTGTCTATAAATTTAAAAAAAAACATATTTAAAGTTGTTCCAAAGTGAGAGGGTAATTTGGTTATGCTTACATTAGTTATGCATTTTTAATTCTTTGCATTGTTTAATTTGATGTATTAAAAATAGTACGTATTGTATAAAAATATCCTCCACAATTATAGTGGAAAAGATATAAAAGTATTTTGAGAGGTAATTGGGTCTTTAACCATGCTAATACATATAATATATCCCTTTGCAATACTAATACCTACAAGATATTAAAAATACACTCCTCAATACACAATAGAGTGTATTAGTTACACATAGCATGATAAAGTGTACCAAACAAGGAACTACTAATACACAATAGGGGTGTACATGGTCGGGTTGATTCGGGTTTTCCAAATATCAAACCAAACCATTCGTGTCGGATTTTTAAATCTATAAACCAAACCAAACCAATAAATCTCGGATTTTTCAACATCGGGTTTTTCCGCTAAAGTATTCATACAAACATATAATTTACTTGTACTTCAAATATTTGTTCAGTCCTACCAAAATACAACAATTTAAGGTGTTTCTTAAGAATACAACACAAACAATGATATGATTAATGACACTAAAATATCTAAAAAAATAAATAATAATAATAATAATAAAATCGCGTAAAACAAATATTGCAAATTAACAAGTTATAATGAAAATGATCATAATTTAAAAATACTAAATCATGCTAAAATAAGTTTAATAAGTATTAGTTACATGACTAAATATTAAAGGAAATTAAAATTAGATTATATACTTTAATTGTCTAAACCAATGAAAAATCAAAGAACAAATATTCAATATTATTGTCATTCTTAGTGTTAAATTGACTTTCTTTTTGCATTAGTATTAATTTGATTTAAGTTTTATTATAATTACCAACATCTATGAATTATAAATTTTATGGAACCATTCAAAATTCTAATTTTCAAACTTGAAATAATATATTAAAAGATAAAAACTATGAAAAAGTATAAGAAATATTTAAAAATTATATCAAAGTAAATATTTTTATTTATGAAATAAAATTTTAAAATTATATATGTAATGTCGGGTTGATTTGGTCTTGGATTGATTTTTTTTAGTTAACCAAACCAACCCAAATATAGTCGAGTTTTTTTTTTTCAACACCAAACCAAGTCAAACCAACCACTAGTCGGGTTTTTTTTTCCGATTTGACTCTATTAGCGGTTTGGTTCAATTTTGTACACCCCTATGCGACCACAAAATTTTACACTACAGGAATGGCTTAAATGTTTATCCCAGAATCGACCAACTGTGCTGCACAGGCTCTGCAGTCAGGCCGTGGATCAAAACCAATGGTAAACCATTGAAACACAAGCCTTTTCTACTCTTGTGCTCCACCAATTTATCCACAAGCTATCTTCAGAATAGAGGAAAGAGCACAGACAAATGCTGATATTTCACAACCAAATTTCCAAACTACAAGAACTACCAACATGATAAAACTTTAAAATATCAAGCAACACACAAATACGGCAGAGATCGCGAGAGCATAACTTTTTTAGTCCCATAAGACAATTTTAACAAAGGTACCAAATATTAAACAGACCAAAATCTTAAAATTCAAGGAGAACTGCACTTAACTTGATCCAAAAAAAGAAAGGATTCAGGGATAGTTAAGAACAAATTTCAGCACAACTAGGTTTCCTTCGGTGGGGCCTTTTTGGCTGCTTCTGCAGCAGCTTTCTCTGCTTCGATCTCAGCAACAATGGCATCAATTTCAGCTTCCTCAAGTTGCTTAAGCCCATCCTCTTTTGTCATCACAGCAACTTCTATGTTTTTTCCACCACTTTCAACAACCTGATTCATAGGGAAACACATGTTTTAAAATCACTACAGCCAAAACAAATGCTCACATCCAACTATGCTCTTTCCATTTTTGCCGGATGCGTGCATTTGTTCCCTAAATACCAACGCAGAAATCTCAAACGGAAACTGTCATGTATTTCAATCCGCTTAAACAATATTTAGTCAACAACTTGAATCATACAGAGCAGCGATCAAATCACAGTTGATAACTTATGTGGAATCATACAGACCAGCGTTCAAGCCCTGGAAAGAGGGATTTTGACAGATGCACGTGTTTTGTATAAATAACTGTGGTATCTACACCAATTAGCACGCACAATCGATTAATACATTCTCCTAGAGCACTTTTATTTGAAACAGAACGAACATTTAGAGCACTAATTTTGAAGGATTTGGATTTCTGGTAATAAAAGATGCTCATTCCCTAAGCAGAAAATGCAGCTACTACTTTTCATCCTCACTTCTCAATATGTTTAGCATCTTTCCTAGGGCAAAATAAAATTCACTTCCTCCCTTGTAACTTCACAAATATTACCTTGTAAATGCGCCTGCATAGATCGGGATGGATAAAAGAGTTCATATTACCAATAATCTTGGAACTGAGATTAGTTGACTGATTGAACTAGGAAGGAATGGAGATTTTAATAACTGAATGATCCCTTATGTTTTTAAAATCTAAATATAGGACGATGAAAAGCAACTCAAGATAACACCGATATTTTAAGAGAAACAAGACAATACAAGGCACAGATCTTAACATGCAACAGAAACTCAGATCATTTATGATGTTGTGAAAGGAAAACTTATAAACAAAAAGCTTGAGAACAACTACAAACACAGGCCACTTACTTCAAGCAAAGCACGTATTGCTAGTTTCACAGTTTCCTGGCCAGATGTTTCTTTGTAATTCTTCTCCAAGAATTCCCGAGTAGAGTTGGAGTTTCTACCAGTCGCATTGGCTTTCCAAGCTGAGAATGTACCTGATGGATCTGTTTGGTAAAGTGAGGGGACACCTGTGTGTGGGTCAAAACCAATGATCAACGTGGATAGACCAAATGGCCTCACCCCACCACTTTGAGTGTACTTTTGCTGAAGACCAGCAATGTAACGAGTTATGTACTCAACAGTAACAGGATCTTCAACCGTAAGCCTATGACTCTGACACTCAATGCGTGCCTTATTCACAAGCACTCGTGCATCTGCTTTCAGCCCAGCACACGCCAATGCAATGTGATTATCTAGATTTACAATCTTTCTTACTGACCTGCAAACACGAAAGAGATTAATTAGCTTAGAGTTTCAAAGCAGGTGGACAACTAAATAAAATGCAAGAGCAATGTCGATTCACCAAGAACACTAGACGAGGGTGATCAAAGTAAACTTAGGTGTAGCGTATTTGACAGAACACATCACCTAACAACTAAAGTAAACACATAACCTAGCCCAACCCACCCTTGAGGGGAAAAACCATAATCCAAATAGAAAGCTGTGTCATAGGTAAATATGCCACTCTGTTAAATTGAGAAAACAGGCACTAAGATGGTGTCATGGAATTACATGTCTGAAACCTTCCTGAGCAAAACCAAAATGAGAAGGTTCCACCTATACAAGCATCTACTCCTGTAGTGACTATAAAGTCAAGCATGTTACTTTCATGTTTTACATCCAAAAGATTACACCAAAAAGCCAAAATCCATTAACATAAACATTTGCATTTCCTCCAAACACTCCAGCACATCAAATAAGAAGTACATTATAATACACACCATTAGGCCCAGATGATAATAAAAGTTCAGCTAAACCACTTGCCCAGGTAAAAGGCAAGGAAAAAAACCTCCATATATTCAACCTTCTATTGATAAACTGAAAATTATTTAAAGCTTTCTCTCTTTCCAGTTGAACTACCCAGAAACCAAGATATTTAACATGTAGAGACGACCTTAATGAGATACGCACATTAATAATACCATGTCACAGTCCAGAAAATTGAGGGAAAAACCCTAAATCTCGCCTGAATCACAGAGTAAACCTAAATATTGCCTTTCTAGATCTTAAAACGAAATAATAATAAAAAAGAGGTACCTGGAGTCTTGAAGCTTGGGAGTGGACTTCTTCTCAACACCAAGGACAACAGTGTCAGTTCCACGTACACCGACGGCGGCGTTTCCTTTGCGTACGGCTTCCATGGCGTACTCCACTTGGAATAAGTGGCCGTCCGGCGAGAAAACGGTGATCGCTCTGTCGTATCTAGCCATTATCTGATAGTACTAAAAGCTATTGAAAAATTTGGAGTCTGTGTGATGTCAGCTTCTTCCGATCTCTTGAGTGTTGAAAGCTCTTCCGTCTAACCTTTTTATGTTTTTTTGGAAAATGGAATTGCCTCTGAATGAATATACACACTTCTTGGGCGACAAGCCAATTGCCTCCAGAACGACGCCGTCCCAAGCACCCTACCCTCCTAAGTTATTAATTAGAAAAACCCTTCAACTTGATGTAAATTATTAATTTCATGCCCGAATTATTGACATTTTTAAAAACACTTCTCTACTTAATTAAATGAACTTAAATCATCCCCGATCTCCACATGACATGCCAAGTTGTCTCAAATTCTTGTAAGAGTATGAGACTCTTAGTAAAAGGTCAAGAAAAGTGTTTAAAACCATTCTAATCTTGATGAGAATTTAGGGGTTACTAGACTAATTGAAATTAAATACACCTCCAATTTTGCAACACGAGTGAAATACATACCTAAATTCTCCTTAAGATTGGAATTGTTTTCAACACTTCTCTCAGTCTTTTACTAAGAGCCCCATGCTCCTACAATAATTTGAGACAACTTGATATGTCTTGTAGCAGATTGGGGGTTTATCGGGGATATACCTAAGTTTAAGTAGTTAAGTAAATGTGTGTTTTTAAGGTTGTCGATAAATCGAGAATGAAACTTATAATTTACGTCAAGTTTAGGGACGTTTTCAATACTTTTCTCTCTGTTAATTACTCCAATAATCTTTTTGATTAACTTTAGGTAAAGAAAATGACAAAAAAAAGTCATCATATTTGAGAATAAGTTTTTTAAAACTTAAAAGAGGATCTCTTAAATATATTTTTGAGCAATTTTAATTCTTAAAATTTTATAAAAATTGAATATTTTTTGTTTTCATCAAATATTTAAAAAAATCAAAACAAGAAACACTATAGAATCCGATCAAACACCAAAAATTATATGAGACATCATGAATAAATAAAAAATAATATAAACTATAAAAGTTACACCTCAAATGTGAATTTCTATTAATTTCATTGCCTTCTTTTCAGTTTTTGTTAAATTTAATAACCAACTTTTCTTAAATATTTGAAGACGCAAGAAATGGATTATTTTAAGGACTGAAATCATTTATAATTATATTTAAAGAATTATATTAACCTATAACCCGAAACATTCTTATTACTTCTTTAGTTTATTACTCCTCTTTCTGTTCCTAATTACTTGTCCACTTTTAAATTGACACACCTATTAAGAAAATAATGATTGAAATAGTAAATTTACTATTTTACCCTATTAATTATGAAGTAGATGAATTAAAAACTAAAGATTTTCAAGAAGTTTTACCTTTTTCAAAGTAATTAATTGAGAGTATAATATGTAAAAAAAATAAAGGAAAAATCACCCCATATACACATTTAAGAGTCAATATTACAGGTTTTAAATCTACTTTTAAAAAATTCTTACTTATAACAGTTAATTACGGGTTATAACATATCACTAATTATTTATAAATTAATTAAATTTTACTTTATTAAATAAGTAATTTATTACAATTTTATATTATTATTAAATTATTTAAATAAAGAATACCCCACAATTATCTCTTACACAATTATAGAGATTTTACATTGATTACACTTTCTTATTTAATGTTATACTCATAACCTCCCATTAGTCAATCCCACCACCCTTCCCCCACACATATCTAACTATACCCGCTATCACCCCACTTTCACCTTCTTCTCTCCCATTTTTCTCACCAGCCAACTACACCAACATTCAATTTTTCGTCCAATTTTTTTTTTCCAACAAAATTATGTCTAAGAAACCCATTGAAACGCCTCGAAAGAGTCCCAGATTGGGTGAAGGAACATCTAATGATGATGTTCATGTTTCAAATTTTAATATATTAACTCAACCCCCCTCCTCCCCCCCCCCCCCCCCCCCCCCCGCCTAAAATTGTTGAAAATTCGGCAACGGATGGTTCATCTAAGTTGAAAGAGTGACAAAGAGAAAAAAAATGAAGAAAATAAAGGTCACCCCTGCAAATCAAAAGGGGAAGAAGAGGAAGGGGAAAATTGTTGAAACTCCTTCTGATTCCGATTTTGATTTTGTTATTGCAATCAAAAAGAAAAAAAAACAAATGTAGAAGTTGGAGCATCTTCAAAACCATCAACAAGAAGAACAACAAAAAGTTTTTTTTTTTTTTAACTTTTGGACAATTTTTTTGTGTTTAAGTATTTGATGATATATAATATCATATATTTTCTTTCAGGCAGATACCGTTTACATATGAATTACTGGTTGCCTATTACAATTTCAAGATACTATTTTGAAAATATCAGTGTGTTTCCAAACTGTACATTTATTGGATGAAATCTGATTAATATGTGTATGACTATGCTTTAATGTTTTGATTTTGAAAATTTTATGAATTGTGATATAATAATGGTATACAAATGGTATGAATTGCGTTTTAACATTTGTGTGATTGTCTATTAACTGTGTTTATGGTATAAATTATTAATTGGTATGAAAATGATATGATTTGTCAAACTACTGATTTTTTCTAAAAAAAATCACATTATGATTACTTTATATTCTAAACATGTTGTTGGATGAAACGTGTATGAAATCTGATTAATACGTGTATGCCTATGAGTTTAATATTTTATTGTTGGATATTGTATGAATTGTGATATAATATTGATATATAAATGGTATAAATTGTGTGATTATATGAATTTATCAACTTTTATACATGTTGTTTTGATAAAACGTGTATGAAATTTTGATTAATATGCGTATGACACTAACTGAAGTTAGTGTGGGAATGAAACACTAACTGCAATTTGTTTTAAATTTATTTATAGTAGAACATCAGTTGAAAATCAAATTAATATTCATGTAAACTTACATTAAATTAAATACTCAGGGTACCATAATTATCTTTTATAATTATCACTAATATTTATATTATCTTATGTATTAAGCTGGAATAAATTTTATTTTTAACAGTATGCAATCTGTATGATTAATGAATGAACCGTGTATAAAGAATGAACGGTATATTAAACACTAAGTTTATAATGCACTTCAAACCAATTATGTTTCATATCAAAACAAAACATTAATCTAAACGACAAAATAAAATAAAAATATATATAGTTTAAACAAATAAACAGTCATTAGTTTTGCACAAGATAATTTGAACATGCTTCATGTTGTGGCCAACTTGACAACATCTACTGCAGGTAACTTTGGACCTTAAGAATTTCACATCAGCAACCCTCTTTCATATATAATTCATTTCATTTGAAAATTCAACATAATTCTCTGTTTCATTACAAAAAATAACAATTAGTCGAACATTATACAAATCAATTAGAAATATGTTAAATAATATTAACTTTTCATTCCAAAGACAGTACAAACTTCATCCATAAAAATCATTATAATAACAACAAAATTATACACACTCGTCATTATTTTTTCATACAAATATCATTCAGACAGTACATTACAAAACAAATTTCATACAAAACATAATATTTCACATTTAATACTCACTTAATACACATTTCATACAACAATCATCATTCATACCAAATTTATACATTTTCATACTCATTTAACACACATTTCATACAAAACGATTATTCATTCAAACTATATACATTTCTCGTCCCAAATAATTAATTACTGTCACCCAACTTTATACAGAAATAACAAAACTAATATAAACTTAACAATTTCACATTTAATACCAATTTAAAACACTTGTAATACACTTCGTCAAGAATTCCAATTTTTTTTTACATATTTCTTAACACACTTTTCATATATAATTCATTTGACTTATACTATCAAATTCATTATCAAATAAAATAAATTTTCATAAATTCGTCAACATTATAATTAAATTATTTTTACAGAATAATTAGCACACTTTCATACAAATTTCATTTAATTTATTCTATCAAATTTATTCATAAAATCACATTAAGTTTATAATTTCACAAAACAACAACTGTATACAAAATAAACAAATAAACAAAAAAAACATTAAATTTTTTACATTTCACGACAGTAAACATAATATGATATCACCAGTTAACAAAATATGACTCCACCTTCAATTAATCGACAGCTTGATCATTTTTGTTTCATTTCGCTATCATTCTAAAACAAACGTTAAACAATAATAAATACTAACCCGAAGGATCCCATCTTTCACCATGTTTGATTAAAATTGATACATAGTTTTCCATCACAACAAAATCAAGAATTTTCAAAGATGAAAAAAACTTCAATTACTCGAATGTGGGATTTTTTTTTTGTTGAAAATTGAAGAGAGAAACGTTGAAAATTTTCTGTTGCAAATTGAAGAGAGAGAGAAATGTTTAAAAAAGAAGAAGATAAAATCTGAATTTTTATTTGATTTTAACTGATTTGAGTGAATTAAGGATACTAAATAATCTTAATTAGTTTAAATCCCTTAATTCGTGCTATTTATTAATTATCTACAATAAATTCAAATTAAATTAACACCACAATTTCAGTTTATTACCTGTTTTCATTAAAAAAACGTTTTTTTTTCATTTTTCTTTTATCTCTTTATTTTATTTAAACAACTTTTTTCAATTATTGAAAACAATTTTTTTTAAAAAAATTATTTGTTAGAACCTGAAATTTTTAATGTTATAACTTGAAAGTCTAAATCTACTGCTATAGCTTGAAAATATTACTATAATATATGACATATATAAAATTTACACAAAAATAAATTGTCCTTTCTTGATATGTCAAAATGAACAAGTAATTAGGAACAATAAAAAAAAATGGACAAGTAATTTCTCGACAAAAACTATATGGAATGTCATTTTCAATTAGGAAATGATCAAAATAGTAACATACGAAATATCTTATGTTAAACACTAGATAGAGGACCCCGTGCCAGCACGGGGCTCAATATATATATTTTTTATTATTTTAATTTATGTCATATTATAGAATTTGAGAAGTTATTGAAATTTTTATATGATTTTAAAAATATTTTAAATTTTTAGCTATTGTGATTTGTAGTACTTTTTTTTAACATAATTTTGAAAAGAATATTTATTACTTTGTTTGTTCTAATTTATGTGGCACACG